TTCCCACTACCTCCCTGTCTCTTGCTTTGTTTTTTTCTTTCTCTCTACAGTATAATATAATTTTCTTGTGAGCAGGGGTTCTGTTTTGCTCAGTGCTCTACCTCCCAGGTCCTCGAACTGTGGCAAGCCCACGGCGTTACTCAATAAAAGATGTTTAGTGTGTGAATAAAGCTGCTCATCTTATCATCCCTACTTTACAACTGCAGAAGCCGAAGCTTAGGTGGTTCATGTGAGTGGCCCAAGGACACTCAGCCAGTAAATGGTGGAGATGGGATTTAAACTCGGATGCTCGGACATCCGAGAGACCTGCCCCAGCCTCTGCCTGGCTCACTCCTCTGGTGGTCTTTGGGAAGGCAGGGTTAGAATTCAGCTGGAAGGGAGGGAGAGCTGAGATGGAATATTCTGTCTCCGGCTGCTTTTTCCTTCCAGCTCCCTGCTTTACTGCCCTGCTCCCATGTCAGGACTCATGGCTGGGAGGACACCTGGCACTCCGTGGTGCAGCAGGTGGTCCTACATCACTGGTGGTGTTTGCTCCTGTTGGCAGCCCTCAGAACTCGGCTTCATCCCAACGCTGCCTCCTCGCAGCTACATGAACTTGGACAACTTATTTTTCCTACCTGAGCCTGCTTCCTTACCGGGAAGTTAAGGATAATGATAGCAAAAAACACCACCAACAATAACAATAATATCTTGTAGAGTAAAGTCAAGGATTAAATAAGCTAGTGGGTATAAAATGTCCAGCAAGTGCCCAGAGCACAGTGAAGATCAATAAAATGTCCTTAACCTGCCTTTGTCTATCATCTTTAATACTATTTCTAAGGAATGAGACATTCCACATTATGAAGAACTACATCAAAAACACACTTTATAAAGCAGCCCGTTCATAAATCAAGCACGTTTCCCTAGCGTGTCAACTGTAACCCATTTCCCTGGCAACGACACCTACCTACAACACAGGTAAAGCTCTGAATGGAAATTTATCAACCTCTTTTGCCCTGCCGATTGTTCAAAGGCCCAGGGACTAGATCGAGTCCTTCTCCTCCATTTTTCTGTAATCTCACTCTTGGATTCTAGCATTTTTGCTAGAAAATGGAGCAGTGGAAGATAAAAGCCCAGGAGAACCCAGGGTAACCTGAAGTTGCTGGAGAAAGGAAAGGACTTTGGCTAAAAGAAGTTTCGAGAACTGTCCACGAGCCGTCACACAGCTTCCACAGGACCTCGGCACGTGAGTGTTGTCAGAAGCAGCGAGAAGCATGAGGACCCAAGAAGGGGAGATGTCATTTGGTTCAAACCGACTGCAATAAATCATGAGCCGAGTCCATGTCTCAGAAAACGTCAGGACAGGTTGGTAGGAGAACATCACATCAGGTAACTAGACACACACAAAATAAAACCAACTGGCTTTGATCACAAATCTTGGCAGAACATTCCAAAAATAAAAAATGTAATGTCGTAAGTTCACAGTACCAGACACATTGCAGGTACATACATATATATGTGTATATATATATGTGTGTGTGTGTGTGTGTATTAGCTGGTAGAATGAATGAATGAATGAATGAACGAAATTCCATCACCAACCCAACTCAAAGCTGCTCTACAAAGTTTTCAAGAGATCTCAGCTGTTGACTCTACTTTGTCTCTTGGCTGATATATTTACACTGCCAGAAACATTTTTTTGATATATTTTTAAATTAAAATTGTCAACTGCCCCCAAACACACAGATCTAAAGCTTTTGAATTAGTCCTTAGTTAAGACGACAAATGTTAATGTAGGAAAAGAAACAAATTTCTTAAAACAAGTGCTTTAAGAAAAAATTACTAAATGTCAAGCATAGGCCAGTTTTATGTTGGCTGTATGTAAGGAAGCAGATTATGGAAAGAACATACGTTTGGGCCCCTGGATTGATAACCACAAGCTGATATATTCTAAGTGCTTCACATGAATTGAAGCATCTCATATTCACAGCTACTCTGATTGTCATCACAGGAAGGAGCAGGCAGCCTTATAGAGAATGTACATCCTTAGCCTCTGTTACACTGACTTCCACATATGAATTCTGCCTCTTATAGCTGTATGACATTAGTTGAGTCGCCTAACTTCTTTGCATCTATCTGCTCATTTATAAAATGGGAATAATAATTTAGTAGCTTGTGAGAACTAAAAAGGAACCGCCCAGCACCTAGTAGCTGTTCAACAAATGACAGCTATTATTCATCATTGTCTCATTTGACCCTTAAAATATTTATAAGTAGAGAATCTGAATTTCGAAAAAAGTTAAACTCCTCAGTAAAGATCAGACAGCTAGCTAGAACAGGGTAAAGTTAAATTTCGCTTATAAGTCTGCCTAACTCCAGTCCATTTCTTACAACTGATTTTATTTTCTTTAGAGCAGTTCTGGGTTCACAGCAAAATAGAGAGGATGTGCAGACTTCCTCCTCGCCCCTCCCCGCCCCTCCCCCGACGCATGCGCAGCCTTCCCCGTTATCAATATCGCCCATCAGATTGCTGCATTTGTTACAACCGATGCACCCACCAGCCCATGCCCCACCCCTTAACAAATAACGCTTACAATGTGATTCTCCACCATAGACTGAACACAAAAATGGTTCACAGGAGTAGAAGAGGGAGGCACTGGCTTGAGGAAATTCTGCCTGAACAGACCTCCTTCTCCATCCCTTCCAGATTCTGCACCCTTTCCCCGACCTTCATGTGGTTCTCCTGATAAGAAACCTCCCCTCTGAACACATTTGCTCCCTTGTTGCTGCCTAGTATAGTTCCTGGGATCAGTTAGGCAATTTTATGAAAGAAATTTGCGGAATAACGAGATTCGGAGTCCAGGCAGTGGGTGCAATGCCTACAAAGACC